AAATCTTGCTCTGGATTTATCAGCAATGAGTTCTTCTCTGGCTACACAAGCCATACTTGACAACATGACCAACAAATAACACTGACGATGATGTTTGTATATAACCCTCCACGTGGCAAGCACTGCCGTAAGCTTTATAGGCGTATGAACTCAAGTAATGCTCACAGCGGTGCTGTTTGCTAATCCCCATTTAAAGAGGAGGAAACCAAGTCACAGAGAGGCCAAGTGACTGGCTCAAAGCCGCACAGCTAATAATCGGAGGAGTTGAGCTATAACCCCGGCAGCTTGGATCCAGTTTGCGCTCAGAACCTGACACTTGAGTCTGTGTCCCGTGCTGGGCCCTGCCGAATGGGCCTGGGGTCTGGTATCACCCCGCAGGAAAGTGTGAGGGACATGCATCCTGCTAATTTTATCCACACGATGGGTAGGTTGCAAGGGGAATGGTGTCTGCTTGTGCCTTTGGCTACCTTGGTGCACTTACATGTCGCATTAGTAGAGGTGAATGTCATCTTGCGTCCAATCCACCCCAATAGAGTTACTTCATTCCGAAGGGAAAGTGACTTTGCCTGGACTCTCCTCTGAGTTTGGTTGTACGCAGCCTCCCTCGGCTGGCTAGGGCCTGGGAGCAGCTCCCAGAGGCCCCCAGGCAGGGGTCCTGGCCCAGGGCCGGGGGGATGGGGGAGGGTGATGGAGCTCGGCTTTCTTGGAACACCTTGTGTGGTACTGCAATTCCCCCGTCACACTCGGAGGCTCCCAGCCTCCACGAAACTGGCCAGGAGAACTTAATTCAGAGGGAATAAAGAAAGACTTAACCTACCACCACTTCAGAAAGGTTGCTGACCGCTGGCTGGGAGCCAGCCTCGGAGAGTCCGCAGTTAAGAAGCGATTCTGAGCTGATGTCTTTAGCTCTGGTGGTTTCCTCCGCCCTCTGGCTGGTTCTGCATTGAACTAGAAAGGGTATGAAAGACACCCATTAAAGAACCAGACCAGTGACTTCGAGGCTTTCAAAGCTCTCCTAAGTGCAAATAATCCAGTGTTGCAAAGCAAAGGGTGGACTCCATTGCTACCCGCAGTTATTTCCATGCTGCTCTGCAGACCTCACCTTTGTGGGCCGTGTACCCCGAGAGTGCATAAGTTCATTAATTCACAGCCTAGTAGTTTTCTCCACTTAAAAAAAAAGTGTTTAAATATAAATACTTCTCATTATCAGAGGGATGTATAGAAATCGTTGTAAAAGCTAAGCAATAAAAAAGAAAAAAGACACACCAAGAAACAGACTCTCAACTATAGAGGACAAACAGATGGTTAGCGGAGGGGAGGCGGGTGGGGGGATGGGGGAAACAGGTGATGGGGAGAAAGCATACACCTACCATGATGAGCACTGAGTGACGTCTAGAATTGTTGGATCACTCTATCGTACACCTGAAACTAAGATGACACTCTGTTGACTGCACTGGAAATTAAAATTTAATTTTTTTTAAAAAAAGCTAAGCAATAAGGTTTTCTTGAGCATCAATCACTGTCACGTGATTTTATCGGTGTCACGTAGCTCTTGGTAGAAAAGAACAAAGTTCTTTTTTTTAAGAAAAGGTTTTGTATGCAGTCTCTCAACCTATGTTTTAAATCCATACAATTCGTGGGCGCCTGGGTGGCTCAGTTGGTTAAGCGACTGCCTTCAGCTCAGGTCATGATCCCAGGGTCCTGGGATCGAGTCCCGCATCGGGCTCCTTGCTCAGCAGGGAGCCTGCTTCTCCCTCTCCCACTCCCCCTGCTTGTGTTCCCTCTCTCGCTGTGTCTCTCTCTGTCGAATAAATAAATAAAATCTTTTTAAAAAATCCATACAATTCGTTGAAAGTTCACATCGTCGGTGGCAATGACAAGCGGCGCTCGCTAGCTGTGTCACACGGGTGTCGGCGGAGTTCTCGGAACAACCCACCGCAGCCGAATGACAAGCATCAGGCGGCCCGGGTTCCCGTCTCCACGTGAGAACTGGCCACCTAGCTTGCCAGGGTGTGAGACCTTAGTTAAGACCTTAGTTAACCGGCATAATCTCTCTGAGCTCAGTTTGCTGGCCTCTAAGGGTAATAGTTAAGATTGTTGTGAAGAATAACCGGGACGAGGCACTTAAATGAATGGATGCAGGTGAAATGCCTATTAGCACAGTACCTACAGCTGCTGGTGCTGCGGGGCGTGTTCCCGTCCGGCGCCTGAGGCCCCCGCCCGGAGAGGTCCAGAAGCCTCGCCTGGGCCCTGGCAAGTAGGGCGCGGAGCCAGGCTCCGGAACGTCGGGATTCGCGTCTCCAACACCCTGGTGGTGCTCCCATGCGCTCTGCCCCACCATAGACACTGGGGGGTGGGTATGCGTAGACCAGTGTTGGATTCCTACAGCAGCTGCCCTGCTAAGGATCTGCCTTTGCCTCTTGAGCCTTTCGGTAAGCCCTTAGGTCTTTTAACCAATCTGGTTGCCCCTTTTAAAACTTGATCCAATCTAAATGCGTCCCTAGTGCCTGTGAAATTCACAAGTGAGCTCAGTAATAGAGTAGAAGGTGCCCAGAGGTTTATGAGCGAGGATTAAGTTTTCCCTGTCACATGCGGTAATCCTGCTGGGGTGAACCCGAAGTGGCATGCGTCTTCGTGAATGTGCCTGGAATTACAAGCGCCTCTCCACTGTGTCATTTACTGCCTTGGCTCTGCTCTGACAGCCCCGGCTTCAGGTTTCCCTTGCTCCCACAGAACCCCAAATCCCTCTGCCCTTCTTCTCTTACACGTATGAAGCGAGTTGTGGAGTTGAGGCCAATACCTTAATCCCTACCACCGCCACCCACACATGCCGCCGTCACCCCCCACACACAGTTAGACACCAACAGCCAGGGTGTCCCCTTGGAGAATCCCCTCCTTCTCCGTGTGTGTGTGTGGGAGGGGGGAGATCTGGCTTCAACCCTTTCTTCTAAGGCACTTCCAATTTTGTATTTTGGGTGGTATTTATCACTGCCTTCTGGCTTTGTGAAACTTCAGATCCTTGCATTTCATTCGCTGTGAAACTGCGTTATGTTTATAATTGTGCTGGAAGTGGACCTGAGGGTTGAGTGTGGTTGACTCAAACATTTCACGTTAATGTGCTATCTTCACACGTACGGGTTTTTATGTCACGTTTATGACATTTTTAAATTATTAATGACAAATTGAGGGAGTCAGTCTACCAGGCGCCTCCATAGTTTTTGTGAAGAATGGCATTGTGTTTTTATTTCCTCAAAACTCTGACTCAGCATGAAAGTATTTGAAAGTAGATCAGTCTCCCCCAAGAATGGTATTATTTATCCGTCTGTTTTGCATTCTCATGCTGCCTTGTTTTTTTTTTTACCTACTTGCTCTCCTGTCTTTCAAGCTAGATCACAGACTCCTTTAGAATAGAAATGTTGACCTATTCATTTCTGCATTTCTGTACATGACTCATTCGGTAACTGCTAATTGAATCAAATCTTTGGACTTCTGATCTTTGCTATAACTGCTTTGTAAAGATAATTATTTTGGCAGTAGTTTTATCAAATTAAAAATTACAAAACTTCTGGGGCGCCTGGGTGGCTTAGTCAGTTAAGTGTCTGCCTTTGGCTCAGGTCACGATCCCAGGGTCCTAGGATCAAGCCTCGCGTGGGGCTCCCTGCTCCGCGGGAGTCTGCTTCTCCCTCTCCCTCTGCCCCTCCCCCATTCGTGTGTGCACTCTCTCTCTCTCTCTCTCAAATAAAATCTTTTTTAAAAATTGTAAGACTTCAAATTTTTGCAAAGTTAAAATGAGTGGCAGAGCTACAAATTTGGAATTGCATAATATATGTGCATATACGTCTGTGTACAGACAGATGTGAATAGTTCACGTAGAAGAAAAAGTGAGCAGTTCAAGCATCTGAAACGTGGTTCAGTAGATCTATGCAGTGGGTTTTCTTTTATTGCTCTGAGTAACGGGGGGGTGGGTAGTGTGGAGAGCAGTAAGGAGACTATGTCCTTTCCTTGGATTTTCTTTTTTTTCATTTAGCTCATACTTATGGGAAAGAGAGCTATTCAGACATTCATTGGTGTACTAAGATGGTGTCTTATGTTGAATTCCTTTCAGCTGGAAGAAATAAGCTGTGATTAGCTGACAGGAGTGGGGAGGAGTTTTGATTAGTCTTGAACTCTCCCAGAATGCAGGTTGCACGAAGTTAAATAGAATAATGCACACTTTCAAAATTATATGCCCATATTATCCTATAGCATAAGCTCAAGTTTTTTACTACTTGTGACCCATGTTTCGATCATCACGCATGACTTTGCATTGTGACGGTCACTGTAAGGACAGTGTAGTTGCCAGCTCACCACCTTCTTGTTTATTTGTAAAGGATAGAACATCTTAATATGTTTTATGTTAAGACATTTTCCTTTGGCCTGGTCCAAATGCCAACAGAATTTTCTTCTTGGTGGGGTGGTGACCAGGAAGGCTTAGAAGGGACAGATGGCCAACCTCTGGCTGCATATTCTCCCTGACTGAGAAATTAGATAGGATTATGGATGGTGCTTTTCTGAGGCAAGCTGACCTTGTTATTTGTAACATGAAGCCAGCAAAGGCTATCCAAAAAGTGCCAGGGGTGTGGAGTTGGGTTGTACCAGTAAGAAAATTGAAGGTTCCTGACAAAGAATTCCAAGAATACAAATTCTATACTTAGAAGACTTCTTGTAAGAGAGTGGATCTCAGAAAGCAGGTTTACGCCATGAAATCTGTTACAAAACTGCATAATATGGAGTACGGGTGACTCTCCATTCCTGGTGCGAATGCTTCCTAGTGGTCGTAGCTCACTGGTGCCCCCTTGCGGTATTCAAGCCACCTCACATTTTGTGCCTCGGGTAAGAAGCCTGCGGTGAGGGAGGCACACTCCATTTCCGGGGGTGGAAACTTAACCTCCGGGGTTGGAAGGCATGTATTTCTGAGATTTTATTCAAACTTCTTTCATTCCCTTTGTCGTCTGCTTTAGGCCAAAGAACTACCGACTTTAAAGGATAATGATTTCATCAATGAGGGCCAAAAGATTTATATTGATGACAACAACAAAAAGGTGTTCCTGGAAAAACTGAAAAAGGATGTTGAGGTAAGAAAAAATCAGCATCAAGAACAGCCCCATCGTAGAAATGTCACCACTCTTGATTTTTAGAAGCTTCTTCAACGGTCCATTTAAATCTGCAACCAAGGCAAAAATACGTATTGTACCTTATGAAAATCACATCTAAACAGGTGCAGCTCCTTCCTCTAGATGACAGACCAAGGAAAGCACCTGATGTCATCTGCGGGGCGTCCCCACCCTCGGCTTGCCACGTTCTTGGTCGGTGGGGAGCCTGTGCAGTGGCAACCTGCTCACGGACTGCCCGCAGCAACCAGACGGAGGGTGACGCCGAGCGATGACATTCTGTCACACAGCAAAGCGTTTCAAAAACAAATGTTTAGTAACTATTTGAATTTGGGGTTTTCTTCATCTAAAGCACATCTCGGTGTTAGTAAACAGAGCCCCGGTCACCTGATGCTTTAACATTTCTACCAGCCTCTGTGAAAGTGGTGTCATCAGGCCACCAAGCCTTACGCGTGGTGGGGACAGCACCAAGGCTGGTCGCCACCCCAGCGTCATGGGGGATGGTTGTGACACAAAATACTGTGTGACAGTGGGCTTTTCGTCTCTCGTGAGGGAGGCTGTTTTGCTTAACTGTTATTTTAAGAATTAAAAATATACTCTTCCCTATCCTTTTGTTGATTTTAAAGGCATCACAGCCTTGTTGGATTTCCTTTTGTGAGTCCTTTGGAAATTAATTCGGGGGGAAAAAAAGATTTTCTTGAGATTCGTTAGGTTTACAAGACCCTGCAAAGAGAATTCTAATGTAGACAGTTACTGAACAAAGTTTTTCTGAGCTGTTACTTTCCTTCATCTATATGTGTGAGTATGGTATACCTTTTTAAAATTTTTTTACTTTGAAATACAGTTCCTCCCACACCAGTACAGCTCTGCTACTTACAGGCTTTAGGGGAAAGTTTTCCTCTTCATGTCATTAAATAAAAACAATTAGAATGGTTCAAGCCAAAGAATGAGTGTCTTGCATTTGAATGTATCCCTCATGAGGGCAGAGCAGTTTCAGTTTCCTTTTTCCTGTTCTGACGTCTCTTTCATTGTAAGACACCCAGACTGACTGAGTGAGTTCATAACTATTTTTAGGTCATGAATTATTTTCATAAAAAAATGTTTACTTTTTTTTTAAACCTACCTGGTGTATATACTTCAATTAGAACCTAAGTAGTGTTTATTTCTGAAGGATACAAGTGTCTACTTAAAAAGAAAAGTAGAAGAAAGTGTTTGCTTTTATCATGTAACATTTTTTTCTCCAGTCTTTCATTAACAAGCATTTTTTTTCCAATGTTGCCAGTGATTATTGTTACAGTACGTATTAGTTAAACATTAAACATTTCCCATACTTTGGTGTCAACTTGATCTGATAACTAAGTACTCTAGGTAGACCTACTCACTTTCGGGTTTTTATTCGTCAATCAGCAAATCTTTAATTTTGAGAATAATACCAATTGAGCAATTATGGTAAATATCCTTTAGGGTTATGTGCAATCTGCCAAAAAAAAAAAAAAATTTTGTTTCCATCCCTTTTTCTGTTGGCTGTGTACCACTAGGATATTTAGACTCCAGATATAATGTAACTGAAGCAGTTCAAATTTACAGTTGAATTACATAAGGATCCTCTTAGCCCTTTTGTTGTCTCTAATAATGTCGTTGATTAGAGGATTTGGATAGTTTAATCCCATGCAGGGCTCTTGCACTTAGCTGTTTTGTTGAAATTGAAGCAGGGCATAAAGCATTCTTTTCATTAAAAAAAAAAAATTCTCAATGGCTGATACAAGTATCTTTAGTTTTGAAATTCATGCAGAAGCATCATTAAATTTTTAAGCAGGTAATTATGGGGAAGTGGCTTGACATCTGATCTTGATAAATGAGACTAGAATTTAATCTAGTTTTGTTTTTTCATTAACACTGTGCTTTCTAATTTAGCTGACTGGCCTATTTGAGTACAGTTTTTTGGTGGGGGGTGGGGATGACTTTGTTTTTTACATAATGCTTAAGGTAAAAGATGAGTTTATTATAGCTCAAGAAGTAATCTATTTTTGTAGCAAAAAGAAAAGAATTGTCATGAGAATCTAGCTGCTTTTTTTTTCTTTTTGCAACCGAAATCCTGCTCTGTTCATATACCCTGAAAATATTTCAATTCAGAAAGTTTTGCACATAACTACGTATTGGTGAGCCCTTTTCTCCAAAAGACAGTGCTCTGTGGAGAGTGAAAATCACTTTGGCCTTCTGGGCTGCATGTTGTCAGCTCCAATCATGACGGTAGACGGTGGATGGTGGAGAGTTGGCACCCATCTCCTCTCATTGGCTCACGCTGGAAGCCTGGGGGTGTCGGGGAGCCCCTACCACAGGCCATCTCAGCTGTCATGTTTATGGGCCTGCAACCTTGGAAATGGGTGGGAGGGTGGAGGTGGGGGCGGGCATGGTGGGCCACCAACATTGACGGACCCACCGGTAGAGCCTAAACTCCGTCCCAGGCAGTCATTCTCTCTTTCATTCATAACAGCTCCGGAGGATGAGTGCTGACATTATCCCAGTCTATGGATGAGGAAACTGAGCCCAGAGACTCTATGTGATTTGCTCAAAGACGCACAGCTACTAAATTCAGACTGGGATTTGAGGCTGTCAGAGGCCACCCTCCTAAACTGCTGTGCTCTAAAACGCAAATTAAAAATGTTCGTGAGAACACAGTTGAGACTTTGTTTCCTGACGAACGCCCCAAAGGAGGATCATTATAACTTTTAACAAGTGATACGGGATAACTGTTAAATAGGGCGGGTTGGAATTTTAATTCTGCATTGCAGATGTGTTAGGAGGTGGTAATTCAGTAGAACAAATGTGTTAATAAAGTTAGCAAATAAAACGAATTTAAATGTTGTGAAGGAGAGTTTATTAATGGCTCTCTTACCACATAGTCTTCTAGAAGGGTTTGTGACAGGGCTCATTAAAGATCTTGAAGAAGATTCTAGCTCAAAGATTTGGCATAAAGAGGAATTAATTATGAAGGAATCAGATTAGGTGGGATATTCTGAGGAAAAAAGAAGCCGACCAAAGGTCTGGCAGATAATTATTAAGAAGTTGGAAAGGAGGAAAGGCGAGGGACCTAAAGATTATAAAGATTTAAAAATTGTCATGCTTTGAAATCTTATGTACTTAAAAAAAATCAATAAATTTGAGTCAGAAGCTTAAAGGAATGAACAGAAAACAGAGCAAATATGTATTAAGTTCCTTAATGTCAGCTGGAGGCAAACCCCAGCAGTGCAGCCCTTAACCCCTTCCCTCCTTTCCTTCCCCCCTCAACGTGGAGTCTTCCAGGCCTCAGTCGTTTTGTGATACCCAGCAGGAATTTTCTCTAACAAGAATCTCAGTTTATTGCCACATTTCATTCCGCTCTACTTCCGAAGACATTTAAAATTAAGTCTGTGAAGATAAGAGCTAGTGAATCTCTGGGCTTTTCCACGTTTCTCCTCTTGGCCCACCTCACTTGAGCCCGCTTCCGGGCTTCAAGTGCGTATTTGATGAAAAAGGCCTTCTACCGTAGCAACAACACGGGCAATTAGGTCACAGCCTCCACTGTTACCTGCAAGGCACTGTTTTCATTGCCTAAGCTACATTCTCTCTCCCTCTCCTCTCTCCCCTCCCCCATGAGCTGAGTGGTATTATCCCATTTTATAGTTAGAATAACTGAGGCTCAGAGCTAGTGAGAGAAGTAAGATTTAGTCTCCCGTCTGACTCCCAAACCTATACTCTTTTTCTTTTAAAGATTATCTGGTACTTTAATTAAAGAATAAAGGGGTCACCCTTACCAGCAAAACCTATGCTCTTCCCCACTCTGCTGTCCTTGGTCTTCCGTTTCCCTCTCAGTGTCCTCAACCTGAAAACGCACGTAGCACCCACTTGGGACCACAGTCAGGGTCCTTGATCTTGGGTGGGTCACAGCAGCTGCTTACCTAGAGATGCATTTTACATGTCACCGATGGTGAGGTTTGGGACGCAGAGCTGCCTTACTGGGAAGGAGCCTGGGCAGTGGTCTGACTGCAGAGCTCAGGCCTGGGAAGGGGCCGGCCATTGTGAGCAGCACTGATGCAAGAGGGGACACTCGGGCCTTGAGACGCGCGCGCGCACACACACACACACACACTCTCTCTCTCTTTCTCTCTCTCTCTGAGTGAGGTGGTCCAGCCCCGGCTGTCATCCGTGCCCAGCTGACCTTTGCAAGTTCATTACGGGCAGCCCCCTTGCTTTTGTAATAAAGCACACTTGAAAGCCGGCCACGTGAAGGTGGAACGGTGGACTTACCCGTTACAGACCTACTCCGTACCACAGAGCGCAGACGCGTGGTAAATGGTCTCATTGTGCCTCGGGCAGAGGTTTCTTTGTTGCTTTGTTCTATGTTTTCACTTGGCTGGGGTGATTATTTCTTTGAGACGGGGTTAGGGAAATTAGGGTGAGTTAAGCAGCAGGCGTCTCATTCACTTGTTCAGTAAATACCAAGAGCTACCAACACTTCCCGGCAGTCAGGAACGCAGTGAGGGCAGAAACGGCCAGAGCTCCTGCCCTCTCGGGGCTGCCACGTTCGGGGAAGATTATGCTCGACTCACATAATCCAACAAGATACACGTGCAGCTGAGCCAAGCGTCATTAGGGCAAAGTGCGCTGGTCCACCCGTGCCTGCGCTTTGGGGATGTGGCCTAGGCAGGAATCGGGAAAGGCTTCCCATAAGCAAGTGTCTCTGCAGCTGAGATCTGCAGTCAGGTGGCAGGGAACTGGGTGCTGGTAAGAGGGCCAGAGGGTGGGCCGGAACAGGGTTCAAGGTGGCCCAAGAGGTACTGGCACCAGACTATCCTGGCCCACTGGGCCATGTTAGAGCTTGCTTCTGCCCAGCAGGATGTGGGATACCATGGGAAGGCCTTAGGCAGGGACTGGGCAAGATCAAATTTGCATTTGGAAAAGATCTTCCCTTCCCAGAGGGGGTCAGTTCACACAGCATCGATTTTTACCACTTCCCAGGGAGCTTCCAAGGGCCCGGGAAGAGCAGGGACAGAGAGAAGGGGGCCTTTGTCCTGCCCCGGGTCAAGCGGAGCAGGACCTGGCCCAGCCAAGCTCCCCCTAACCCTGCACTCAGTGCGCGCAATCGCGCATACACACACACACACACACTCTCTCTCTCTCTCTCTGCAGGCAGGTGCTGGTTAACCCGTGTCTGCAGCGGTACCCAGACCTCTGGAGGGTGTCTGGGGTGGGCAGAGGGGGCAGGCCAGATAGACAGAGGGGTCGGGGCCAGCGCTGTGCTAGGTGTGGGAGGGGACAAAGGAGGCGCTGACCCCGTTCTCTGGGAGCTCAGAGGCTGAGCTCAGCCCCAGGCACAGCTCTCTGGGACCCATGGCCACCAGTGAGCACCCTGCCTGTCATACCTGCTTGGTGGGGTGGGGGGTGGGCAGAGGGTATGACTGGGGATTTCTGATGCAGTGTTTCCCGAATGTCTTCTGTTTCCAAATCACTAGGCCCCCGGGGCATTCTGAAGGGGGGCAAAAAGCAGGCTTGGTGATGCCGTCAGTGTGAGGCCTGCTGCTGGCGGATACCCCTCGCAGAGACTCACAGTCCTTAGTAACGGTGGGAGGCCGTCCTCCTCAGAAACCATTTGATTTGATTGACTCATTCTTTCCCCTACTAGTGTTGCAAAGAACAGGACTTGGGAAAAGCTGCCTTAATGCAGTTTCCAGAGCAGCCTAATGCAGTATAAAGAACAAGAGCTTTGAGCATAGGATCCTGAATTCACTCCTCCTTAGCTTTGATTCCTTGGGCAAACTCTTTTAATCTCTCTGAGCCTGTTTGCTGTCTTGCATGGGGATCCGAATGCCTATCTCAGGCGAGGCCAGCTGTCTCTGTACCCCGCAGTGCCCGGCTCTCTTCCACATCCGTGCGCTTGTGGGGACCACACCATGTACCCGAGGTCAGGCTACGTGGCTGGGTGGCTGGCTCTGTGTGGGTAAAAGAGTCAAGCACTTCATGGAGTTGTTACTCCCCCAAGACGGGGAAGGCTGCCCAGCCATCTGGCCAGATGCACCCTGACACCCAGCAGTTGCCAGGAGGATATGGCAGGACGAGCAGTCTCTGGCCACTGGCTGAGGGAGGTGGAAAGTTGTTCTGTGAGGACTTGAAAAGGGGAGTTTGGGAAAGCCCATGGGAGGAACAACAGCTTCCTCTGTAAACTGATCGAAGGCATGAGAGAACCAGCACTCTGTTTTGTTTGTTGTTGGCTTTTTTTTTTTACTAGACTAAGTAACATCTTTATTTCTTTACCCAGCTTTATTGAGGTATAGTTGACACACAGTATTATAAGATATTTAATGTATACATGGTGATGATTGAGTATGTATCCATTGTGAAAGGATTTCCCCATCAAGTTATGAACACAACCATCACCTCACATATTGACCTTTTTTGTTTTTCTTTTGGTGAGAACATTTCAGTTCTACTCTCTTAGCAAATTTCAGTGATACAATACAGCATTACCAACTATAGTCACCATGTTATACATTAGATCCTCAGACCCTATTCATCTGATAGCTGGAGCTTTGTACCCTTTTACCAACTCTCCCTATTTTTCCAGCCCCTTCAGCCCCTGGCAACTGCTTTTCTGCTGTTTCTAGGAGTTCAAATCTCACACACACACACACACAGACACACACACGACATCATACAGTATTTGTCTTTCCCTGTCTGGCTTACCTCACTTAGCATAATGCCCTCCAGGTTCATCCACGTTGTCACAAATGACAGAATTTCTTTCTTTCTTAAGGCTAAACAACATTCCACTGTATATATATATATATATATATATATATATATATATATATATATATATATCACATTTTCTTGATCCAGTCATCCATTGACAGACACTTAGCTTGTTTCCCTACCCTGGCTATTATGAATAATGCTGCCATGAACATGGGAGTACAGAGATCTTTTCGAGATAATGATTTTGTTTCCTTTGGAGCTATAACCAGAACTGGGATTGCTGGATCGTATGGTAGTTCTATTTTTATTTCCTTGAGGAATTTTCATACTGTTTTCCACAGCGGCTGCACCAGTTTGCATTCCCACCAAGAGTGCACAAGGTTCTCTTTTCTCCACATCCTCGCCAACACTTGTCCTCTCGTCTTTTTGGTACTAGCCACCCTGACAGGTGTGAGGGGATAGCTCATTGAGGTTCTGATATGCACTTCCCTGCTGATGAGTGATGTGGAGCATCTCTCTGTGTACCTGTTGGCCATTCAACACTCTTTTTTGCCAAAGGGTCTGCATGTATCAACTTTTAAGTATTAGGTTTCTCTTACCTTGCTTACATATCTAAATAAAGATTTGTGTGATTTTCTTTTCCCCTGAGCTTAAATGAGGAAGAGTCAGCGTGGCCCGAGGGGATTCATGGTGGGAAGACAAGGAAATGGGAGCTAAGGAAGAGGAGAGCAGACAGGAGGAGGCCTGGGCCTGATGAGGAACTGAAGGCATCAGGGAACAGCAGGGGCAGGTCCTCTCCTTGTCTTTAAGGGAGCATGGCTTTCTCTTCAGCTCGGAGACCGGGCTGCTTCCCAACAGGCTCGGGAGGAAAAATGGCCCAGCGGGTCTCCACAAATTGATTTCATTTCATTTTCTGCCAGAACTGCAGGACCTATAATTTCATATGCTTACCCTTAGCGTAAGGAAGTCATTTCCTAAATTCTGTCCAAGTCGCCCGAGGCCCGTCAGCGGCTCCGCATCACTGAGTGGGGGTGGCACCAAGTCCTCCAAGAGTCGGGGTCATGCGTCGTCTTCTTGGGCCACAAGCCCAGGGTCAGAGCAGTCGTGGACCCTGTGCCGAGCCAGCCAGCTGGGGAGTCAGGGAGCTGTTTGGTGTTAGCCAGCAGACGGGCCACCCCATTTTGTCCTCCATAATACAAGCCACGTTTTATTTGATCGATTAGTAGAACCATGTGCTTCCGATCATGTGTCTGGGTACATCTACTAAGAAGAAAAGAAAAATGACCTGCAAAGTCAAAACGAGAACTTGGCAGGCAGGGGTAGACTAAGCCGCAGAGCGACGTCGGCCGCACGTTACAGGAGGAGGGAGAACAGGAATCCCGGGCCCGAGCTGCTGCATGGGAAGTGAGCCACCTTCAGCTTCTCCGTGCCCTCGCTTCCATTATAAGGAAACCTGAGCAGGACAGAAGGACTGTGTTATTCACCAGAGCACTGACACACGCATTTGCTGGTTGATTGGGACATTTGGGCTTTTACTTCTTCGTGATGGACAGCATAATAATCTCCTCTCAGCCCAGTGTGCTGAATTTCAAAGTGCTTTCACAAGAGACTCTGCTGGAAGCTACTTGGGAGGTCCCTGGTTTTTCCCATCAGCCAGTCTTAATTGTCGGGAGAACAGCTCTCTTCCCTCCTTCTTGCCAGTCATGCTCTCTGCTCTTTGGTGTAACCCAACCTCCATGTGATAAATGCATGCCTCTCAGCATCCAGCTTTGCGTTTCAGGGAAAATAATACTAGCGCTGAGCCAGCCCCAAGTGTGGGGCTACATTTTTGGCCAGAGGAGCTGCCTGGGACTGTGAGAGCATCATAATGGAGGCTCCTGGCTGGCCGCCTCTTAGGGAGACCCTCTCCTCATTTCTGCTGCCCCTTCCCTCACAGCGTTCCCCCACAGGCGTTTTCCTGAGTTCGTTTCCTTCAAATATGGGGTTTTGTTTAAGGCCATGACTGACCCTGTTGCCTCCCACCCTCAGTTTCTTGCCCAGTTAAAGCTCATGGACTACAGCCTCCTGGTGGGAATCCATGATGTGGAAAGAGCCGAACAGGAAGAGGTGGAGTGTGAAGAGAATGACGGGGAAGAGGATGGGGAAAGCGATGGTACCCACCCTGTCGGGACCCCTCCGGACAGTCCTGGAAATACACTGAACAGCTCACCGCCCTTGGCTCCAGGGGAGTTTGATCCAAACATTGATGTTTATGGAATTAAATGCCATGAAAGTAAGCTATTATCAACCTTTTTTATCTACGAAATGGTTTGATTTTTGCCTTGTTTCCTACCAGTAACTGTAATCCCAGTTAAAAGTATGCTGCCCTCCAAGACTTATTCTCCAGAGTCCCAGTAATTGATTCAGGGACAAGAGCATGTTAAGAGGAACTGTAATCTCTGGTTTTGAAACATAATGTGATAAGGTCCTTGAGTTTTTTGATGTTGAGGAATAGTGAGCCACAAACTATTTTATGTATACAACACACGTGCACACACATGTAAAGGTAGCTAACATATAGAAGAAATGTTTGTAAATGTTTTTTTCTTAGCTATCTCTTCTGTGGCTCTAAAGGGTCAGGAATCTCTCCAGCACTAGGTACATATGCGGTCCCCTCTGAACCTCGCTCGGATACCCTGAAGGGCACACTCACTACCAGCCCTTTCCTGTTTAGGAGCGCTCAAGCTGGCCCAGGATGTGGGATGACAATGTCTGATTTGCTGTCGTGTCTGTCCTCTGCTGAGTCACCCCCCCACTCCACCCCCATTAAAGGGTCTGTGGATCTCTTATCTAGAGTGAGCGTAATCTTAATCCTCAAAATCTGTATGACTGAGTATTTGAAGGAGTATTACCGTCTACCTTAGCTACTTACACATGAGAAAACCAAAATAATTTAGAGAGATGATAAATGCTGGCCTCTTATTTTTTGAGTAATAAAAATGATGATTCATCATTATTTAAAAAAAAAATCTCATGAGGCATATCAGCCAAATGAGTTTGTGTTTATTTTGCTCACCAAAATTTTCAACACAGAAAATCAGATGTAGTCAAATGTACTTTTCTTATTGTTTACAATTAAGACAGCATTATATTTGTGGAAATATGCAGACCGATCTTACAGATGATATGTGCCTTTATCCAGTTCTGATGCTAGACTCAGTGAGAATCATGAACAGGCGTGCCTCTAAGTGGGTTCTAGAGCACCACAATAAGGCGAGTCACATGACTTTGCTGATTTCCCAGTGCATATAAAAGTTACGTCTACGCTATACTGCAGTCTGTCACGTGTGCATTAGCACTGTGTCTGTAAAAAAACAACATACATAGCTTGTTTTTTATAAAATACTTTATTGCTGAAATATACTAACCATCATCTGAGCTTTCAGTGAGTTGTAATCACTGATCACAGATCACCATAAAAATATAATAATGACGAAGTTTAAAATATTGCTAGGATTACCAGAATGTGAGGTGAGCAAGTGCTTTTGGAAAAATGGTGCTGACAGACTCGCTGGACGCAGGGCTGTGGGTAAAGGAGGCAGCGTCTGCGAAGCAGTAAGACTGTGATGGTAGAAGAGGATTAAGGAGCAAAATTACCTCTACTGGTTGCATTTTAAAAATAGCACTTTTCTTTACACCAAGGCAATACATAATGATTAAGGAAAATGCAGATTAACAAAAAAATGAAAACAGTCTTGCCCTTGGACCTCTACTGGTAATATTCTGGGGTTATACTTCTTTTACTTTTTAAATTGAGAAGAGAATTGGGGACAGAGTTAAGCTATTTAACAGGGATATGCAGGAGTTACATGGACTTTTTTTTTTTCCAAATTACTATTTTATTTTTTTTATCACTTTTTTTTTTTTTTGTATTTGAGGAGAGCTGACTCACCACGTTACGTTAGTTCCAGGTCCACCACAGGGATGGGACAAGCCCATCCGTGATGCGGTGCTCACCGCAGCGCGGCTACCGTCTGTCACCACACGACACCGTTACCGGCTCACTGCTTGTATTCCTTTTGCTGTGCCTTTGTCCTCACTCCCCCCGACCTCTTCCTTCTGTGACTGGAAGCCTGTGGCCCCCAGCCCCCTCCCCCATTTTGCCTCTCTCTCCACCCCACAAAACACAGAGGAGGGAGTAAAAACTAGTGGTTGTTTTTAGAACGAACGTGTTTTGCACCACAGTGTACCCCGCCTCCGTTGTCAGAGCGCGCGGTCCCCGTCCCGAATCCCTGACCCTCCAGCGGGGCTCTTCCCAGCCGCATCACTGGTCCCACAATCATTGCTCTCGTCCCCTTACAGACTCGCCCAGGAAAGAGGTGTACTTTATGGCAATTATTGACATTTTGACTCATTATGATGCAAAAAAGAAAGCTGCCCACGCCGCAAAAACTGTTAAGCATGGCGTAAGTATCTCCACTTTGTTTCCTTCTCTGCTCCGGGGCCCTTGCTGCGGTCTGTGGCGCGGTCACGGGCTCTGGCTGTTCCCTTGCCACCAAGCTGGCCGGAGCCCCTCGGTGGTTCTTGTTCTCTGGGGGGGGTCATGTTCAGTCATGGTCAGAGTGCGAGATTAGAGGCGGCAAGTGCCAACAGCTCACGCTTGGGGCAAGTCACTTAAACTCAGCGGCTAGCCTTTTTACGTGCTGGGGATATTCACAGACACGTGCATCTCTAGAATACTGTACAAATTCGGTTTTGTTGGGCAAATGCTTCAAAGATAAAAGTGAAGACAGCTATTCATGTTTTCACATGCATCCTCAAAACTGACCCGTCAGACCTGAAGCACTATTCTGTGCCTCAGACGCTTCCCGAACATGCAGTATTATCTTTCTTTTTGTACAGTGAACTGTATTTTTTCTACTACGGAAATCTTTTGGGTGCCAGATCCAAGTTTAATAACATGAATTCTTCACTGTTATTGTGCTTGCTCTAAATTATCACCATTCTACACATATGGTGACCTGTTGAATTCCCCATGACAAGCCTATGGCGGACACTAGTGTAGCCCTGCTTATCAGCTGAAGAAACTGAGGAAGAAAGCCTAAGCTTGTCAGGGCCACGGCACTAGAAAGTGGTAGAAATGGGACTGCTCCCAGAACCTAGCCCAGCCCCCTGCTCTATGCTAGTCCCATCCCCCTGCCCTACCAGCAAATCGCACCTGCCTGGTTGAACTTCACAAGTAAATACTCATTATGCTCGTATTGCAGAGATTCGTTTTGGCTTTCCAGGCATTGTTAAAAAAGCCAGAGACCCCATCCCATAGAGATGACCTTGTGCCTTGGCTTGTTCACACGGGAAGGAGAGGCGCCTCCCCAGTAGTGTGTACAGCCAACTGAGGAACACCAGAACATCAGCCTCGATTAAAGGCTCTTTTCTGTATTTTAAAATCAAACAGGCTGTCCTCCCAGCAAGGGAACCAGCCTAAAGCCATACTCTATTTGCCAAAGAAACATTTTAGTTACATCATCAGCAACTATTTATGGCTTCCCACTGTGTGCAAAGCAGGGCCCGAGCCCTCACCCAGCTCACTGCCAGTGCCCAAAACCCCGGGTCGGTTGGAAAGGAGGGTCCCCGGCGGCTGGCATCGCCACCTTCAGAGTAGTGTTTGTGAACTACGCGTGTGCCCGAGGCACCATCCCCCTTCCCGGATTCTGAGTCCAGTCCACGAGGGTGGGGGAGGTCTCGAAAAGGCTCTGTGGTAATTCCGATGCTCACCTCTGATCGAGAACCACGGGTATACTGCAGAGACGGAACTGTAATCCCTATTTTAGCTTTCCCAGTTGTATAACCTTGAGAAAACGCTTTGGAGCTTAAGGACCCCAACAACAAAGGAGTCCTAACCCCTTGCTGACGGGGTTTAGTGGAGGACACCCGGGGTGAGCAGGTGCCATGTGTCTGTGCCCACCCCTCCTCACACGCGCCGCTGTATCACACACCATGTGGAACTGGAAATCGACCGGACCAAGCATGGCTCCATCTTAGTCTCCACTATGCGACCCCAACTCAGTTTCACGAGACACCACATGGCCTAAGACTGCACAGTTTGCAGGAGCAAGAAATTACTCTTGGCAAAGGAATGCTCTGGGCACTCTTCTCTGCCTTCAAGGCCTGGGCTCCTCCATGGAGATCCCCGTGGCCCGGGCCAGGCTAGGAAATTACAGGTTCCCCGGGGAGTATGGGTGTCCAAAAAGAGCACGTGGTGACTTCATAAAGCTGGTCTTGCCCTCTGCAGCTCATGAAACTGGCTTGTAACCACAGACGTTGAGTCTGGTCGCCAGCACTGCCTCCCATAAGGGGCGATCCCCCGCCAAGCCTGCGTGAGGGGCCCCTGCTTCCTTGCCCCACACAGGTCTCTGTGAAGGGGAACACTGGCACCCCTGTGCCCAGCGCTGAGGGAAGCCCGCCCCGGCCCCTCGGGGGGAGGCGCCGTCAGCAGCCTGATGTCTCGCCCGGCTGTGGGTCCAGCTGACACGGATCCCACTGCTGTGGCTGTCACCCCTCTTTTGAGCGTGCCGCCACTTACCTGGGTCCTGAAAAAGAAACCCGATCCTATGTCCCTGTTGTTTCCCTTTAGCCAGATGTTGCTGTTGGTGTCATTCTCAAGGGATCTCCAACCTGCTCTCCTGAAAAACAGCAAGATTGTTACGTAGGCCACACAGACCCCACCATGTGACAGGAACATCCCCAACATGGCTAGTTCGATTTTTTTTGTAAGTTGCCACAGTCACAATGTGGTAACAGCATCTGTTGTTACTCTGACTCTTAGCCTCACTTTCACAGATTCCTAAGAACGTTGATTATTCAGACACCATATCCAAGATATTCTATGTTTTAAGAACAGAGGCTGAGATTGGAAAAATATTAGCTTTGTATTTAGCTGCAATTGGAAATTGCTATAGAGACTAAGTAGTAATTATATGGATATTCTTCTCCTTTACAACTGCCTAGGCTGGTGCAGAGATCTCGACCGTGAACCCAGAACAGTATTCAAAGCGCTTTTTGGACTTTATTGGCCACATCTTGACGTAACCTCCCACATGGCCTTGGACGGACATGAGCACGGGAAGGAAAGAGGTGGCTTCGGTGTAGGAAAAATGAAAACCAAACTCAGTGAAGCACACCTCCTCGTTTACATCTTCAGGCCAAGATGACTGATTTGGAGGCTACTCGCTTTAACAGCTACCTGATATTTCCCAGCATCGTTCTAGCTATTTCTGACACGTGTGCGTGCGTGCGTGTGTGTGTGCCTGTGCGCGCGTGTATGCGTGTATCTTAAAAAAAAATAATTAATTAATTAATTAATGCAAACCGGTCAGCTTCAGTCAGAGTGCATTTGGGCAACAACCCTCTGATTCCAGCTGTGGATGGATGGATGGATGGATGGATGAGCACATGTGGGGGGAGGGGGCGAAGGAAATGCATGTCAGACCAACCATGTTGGCATCACGCGATAAACTGTGGATCAGTTTATTTTTTGGAGTTGAAAGATGTGACAGTATTCATAATAATAATGAAGATAATAATAATGATGATAATAATGATGGTGATTAAAAGAAAAAAACTTACTGCGAATGTTACATTTCTACCACGCACGCGGACACTCCTTAATAGTTGCCCCCCAAGCCCCTGGCGCTGGGCGGGGGGTCGCTGGCATCTCCAGCACGCCCTGGCTCAGGGTTCTGCCTCCACAGTGTCGGGGCTCCCGGCATCCAGGGACAAAGGCCCCTCCTCTAGCAAGAAGCTGATGCCCTTAGTGACTCTTGTCTGTACATTTTCACCTCAGTAAGTATGTCCAGGAAAACTGCTTACTTCTCTTTTCTTGCCTGGAGCTTCTTCACTGTTACACTCTTATGTTGCAATATAGGAATTAATGCTACAAAATAAAAATAAAGCTTACCTGCAAAGTGCATAGTTTTGGGCAATGGTATCTACATCTCCTACAGTGGGAAGGTGAGCAGAGCATTAGAACTCTGAATTCTGTTAACGAAGGCAAATCTGAATTCTAAGATGTTTATGTTTCACCATTGGTTAAACAGTGGTATTTTGTTATCAATTATCCCTTTAACTGAAACCCTCAATTTTACTGTTTACATTATTAGGAAAACAGGGATATTTTTGAATCTAAAAATTTAATGTACAGCATGTGATTTTTTGAAGTTTACATGTAAAGTCATTTTACAGTGTAGGTGGAATAATGTTTGTCATATTTTGAAATGTATCCTGCAGTCATGTTTTTGGGTGAATGTTTTATTCAAGTACATGGTAGGCAGTCTTATACAATAAAAGGAAAAGGGTTGTTTTGTTTCCTCCAGATGTACATTTATCAACCTGATGATTTTTTTCTAAATGTTTAACCCAAATCTGGTTATGTAAGTTCATTGCCCTAAACTGTGCTGTGTTTTAATCAATTTATAAATTTCCAACATCGATCATGTATTTACCAACTTTCTGGCATTTTCTGAAAGGCATCAAGCTAAAATATTAGACTTGCTTAGAGTAGGTTGTCAACTTATACACTGTGCTAAAGCTGTGCCTTTGAAATTCTTTGTTTAAAACATGAGATGATTTTTGTAGGCAGTTTCAGAAAAGAAAAAAAAAAATCCACCTTTCAGTGATTAGTTATAACTCCGCAAACCGCCCCTGCCATACTGCCTCTTCCAGGAACTTTACTTCAGGGCTTATCAAGACTGCGACTGTGCCCACTGGGTGTGGGTTTACTTCGGAGAACACGGTGATAGCAAATCAGGATCTCTGGAAGCCAGCAGCAACGCCATTCTATGACTAGTTACTGACTTCACCCAGGTTTGTTAGCCACGGTGGATAATGCTATCGCCACTGGGCCATGGTCATCCAAATCTGTATTTCATGCATTCAAATTAGTTGAGACTGTGATCTGGGCCCCCACTCCCCCACCATTCATCCTGGCATCGAGTCCCTTTCAGTGTTCTGAAGTTCTACGGTGGTTTCTTTGACCCAAGACTACAAAAGTGAGACCCTGAAGTAAAGATAAGGTACACATACATTATTTGAGTAACTATTTCCTTTGTGGCCAGTCTGTGTATGCTTTTAGAAGTTTACAAAATGCTTTATTTTTTGTCTGTAACAGTCTCTGTCGTTCATTTCTGTCGATAAACTATTTGGACAGAGTGAGGAAGTTTGCCTTGTATCTCCTAGTGCTAACAATACACTCCAGTCATGAGCCAGGCTTTACAAAATAAAGCACTTTGATGACTCACAAGGTGGATCCTTTGTTCCTCTCTCTCGATTGTGTTTCTCTCTATTGCAAATAAATTTTAAGTACTCGGTACTAAGACTACCTTTAGCTGATCCTGGAAGAAGTAAAAGTGAAATTGAATCAAATCTCTCTAGAGCTTTGCCTTCAACCTGTGAACTATTTTATTAGTAAATAATAGAAACTTCCCCACCAAAATGGACTTACTGCAAGATGGACAGGCAGAGAAAAGAAATCTCTTTAGTGAATACCTCTATAAAGCATACTGTTTTATTTGTAATTTTTACCAACCACAGTTCTGTGTCAGCATTTTTCAAAACTTTCTTGGGCTGCCCCTGGTGGACGGAAGGCTGTCTGACAGCATCCCACTGTCGCTGGCGCCAGGTGAGCAAACACAGTCCGTTGGGCTAAAGCACTTGTTTGGAAAATGCCTATTTGTTCTAATGCAATTGATCTATGAGGGAATGATTTGAGCATAACGTGCCTTTCCCATTTACTTGTGTGCACTTCGGTCCACCAGGAACATGAGATGAACACAGGAAATCACACGCCCCCCCTCCAACATCACCAGCTCCCCCGGTGCCTCCCCTTGTGCGCAGTTACACTGGTCCGACTTGGGGTCCCTCCCGCCTCTGCTTTACAGCAGTCCAGAGATGCAGCCCTTCCGAGACTCTCTCCCACAAGTACCCTGCAGGTCCTTTTCAAGATAACCTGCCACATTTATTGGGGTATTTATATGTTTCCTGACCATTTAGCAATGCTGAAAACTGTACTACTGTTTTTATTACGTTCTTTTTTTTTTAACTGTATCAGTGATGAAGTTTTGGGGTGTTGTGCCCCTGCACCCCAGTATTCCCATGAGCCCTGTGGGGTTTATTGTGCATAGAGCAATGATTTAATCTCCTGGACTGAATTCACCTTGGTCCCAGAAAACTGGTTACTGCTAATTCATAGAAGGACAAAAGCTGATAGGAAGCATTAATCCTTGATGCAGCGCTTTTGGAAATAAGCGATTAAGGGTTAAATGCAAAGGGACTAAGAACTGTGGATAATTAAGTGGTAATGTATATGATGTATACATGTATATTATGAAGCGGCGTAGTGAAGAGAAGGCAAGGCCAAGAGGTGGAAGATGGAATTAAACCCGGGAGTTCTTAACATCAGTGGACTCGGCAAGCCCCCAGCCACCACTGTACATGGAATGTTTAATTAGCACAAAATCAGCTGTCATGGTCTCTACTGCACAGAAAAGCCTTCTTCCAGTTTGCAAAATAACACCCCCCGTCTCTTCCTCCCTCCCCATCTTCTTAAACAGCACTTGATTCAGCTCCAGCCACATTATCTGGAGCTGCTATGTTAAAAATACAAAAGTCTCTCTCCCTAAAGGGCAGAAACTTGCTGGGCCTTGTGGATCCCCACGCACAGGAGTGACATGCGCGCAGTCCGCCTACTCACATGCCGACCGAACTGCTGTCTTTAAACAGTTGGCCTATCAAAGAGGCACTCCTGGTAAAGTGGCCCCGAAGACCAGGGAAGTGTCTCTGGGAGAGCAGAGTTGATAAGTTACTTAGAGCAATTACCGAAAGTTCCTTCATAAAAGGCAGCCCTAAAGAGTACAGTTGGGTACCTTTTCATCTAAGCCGAATGCCCTTCAGAAGTTTGTTTTAGTCCTGTTTTTGCGATTCGGTGAAAATCCTGCCAAAGGGCAGTTAAATGCCAGAGTCTGTAATTTTCTCTCACTCTTAAACACTTGTGTTTAGTTTAACTTCTTAAGAGAAGGGACAAGAGGTTAGGATTTCTCAGAATCCAGTGTGACAGATGTGTGTTACAGAATCCCACACCTCGTGCTGGAAGAGGTGTCAGAGATAAGGAAAGCCTGGCCCGCAGAAGCTCAGTGACTCTCCCGAGGTCACAGGACAGTTCACAGCAAAGCCCGGGCTGGCCCTCTGCCGCAGCTCGAGACTGAGAGTTGAAGGCTTGAATGATGGACCTCGTGCCCTCTGGCGACTCCAAGACCTCACCACCACCCTTCCTGGGTGAGCACTCCTCTTTCCCTAATCCCTTCTGCTGTGTTTTGAGAGCCCTCCCTGGCCTGCAGTCGCCTGCATTTCATGACAAATGTTCTACACAGTTCATTTTATGAGAGTTAATCTATATTATTCCACTTCTATCATTTTCTCTTAGTCCAACAGCTTTTTATTACTGTCACTTGACAATTTAAATCAAGGGGTCTCACTTCTGATGAATGGCCAGTTTGGAAAATACGGTCTTAAGTGGCTAATCCCTCCCACTAAATGAATCACTGATTTTAAATACTTTTTGCAATATGCTTCTTTCTGTCTCTCTCTCCTTTCTCTCTCTCTCTTCCTGCCTCCCTTTTCTATACTTAAAATATACAAACAAGGTAGCTTCTTACTGATTAGAGCAGTGAACCACAGCCTGAGCGCCAAATCCAGTCCACCACATGATTTTTGTAGTTTTACTGAAACAGCTACATCCATTCGCATATTTCCTATTGCTGCTTTCAAGCCACAGTGGCAGATTGAGTTGTGACTGAGACCTGACACCCATAAAAGCTTAAAACATTTACTATAGACCTTTGCAGAGAAAGTCTGCCGACCCCTGAAACAGAGCCTCATTTTAGTACCACAGAGTAGTTTCTGCAAAACCACGGACTTCAGCTACAATTGCTATATTATCCACAGAGATCTTCCTCCTCCCACCTGGAGTTCTTGGGATTTTTTTCATTCTTTTACTAAAGTTGTTGCAACTTCATGGCTGCCCTCAGTTTTTATTGAAGTTATTAATGCCATTTGAGTTTGTTTGAGTAAATTGCTATGGTCACCTTAAAGTATGATCGCAGTCACCAGTGGAACTGACTATCTGAGAAATCCACTTACAAAAGGGGCATAACTTTAAGTCATTCAATCACTTTGTTAAAGTCCTATAAAAACAGATGACTGAGTTCTTCAACATGTGACATTTTCTTAACAAATTTAAGATATTCATATACACTTTAAAAAACCTTTTTTTGGTCACAGATAGTATTAGTTAAGGAGTCTGCGGCCACAAATATGTGCTACTTTTACCTAGTTTTACCAAAGATGATAGTACTAAAATATAAGAATTTGGTCAGACTGTTTACCTAAAATTTTCTTCCCCCTCAGGCTTCCTGGTAGTCTGGGGATGAGTAGCTTATTAGCCTGTGGATTTGGTGCCTTAGATGGCCTCAGATATTTTCCCCCAAAGTTCCAGAAGGGAGCTTCTTCCTGCTTTGGTTGTACTTACACATCTCCAAACCAAAGTTTGACCAGGCAAAATGAGGGAATTTTCCATTTAAATTCTGAGAACTCATCCTTCCACCCCACTCCACTCCCACTTTTTGTCCAGATTGTAAAGTTGATTTCTGAAAATTAGCAGGTCTTTCTAAGTTTCCAAAAATAAGTAAATAATCACAGAATGAATAGACCGTGTTATTGCAATGAATGCAGATGCACTGCAGGGCGTGCAAAGCAGAGAATCTTCACATTGTCAAGCACAAGGCTCCCCAAACCAAACACTGAATGTTTAACTATGAAGCCATACATTTTTTTCTTTTAATATCGTCCTACATGGGCTTAGGAATTTAGCTTTTAATTAAACAAAGTGTCATAGGGCATTGCCTCTTTTTACCAAAAATAAGCATCAGCAAAAATGCCAAAATATACAAATGAACTGTATGTATTGATCACAGCTCTAGGGAACCGGATAGACTAAGGGACATTTGGGATTTGCTGACTGGACACACATCCACTGTTCCCATGTGGGGTGGGGGTAGGATACATGTGCCATGGATGTATAGATGCTCTTGGCTTTTGGTCCTCTAAATGCTGTTGTATAAAAAGGTTCTTAAGTCATCAGTGTGATGAGATTTAATTTTGACTAATTAAAATTTGTCACAAAAAAAAAAAACTATTGACTCAGGGGTCTGTGTTGTGCTAAAGCGTTTTCCTTCACATTCTCTCACTTAAATGTCATACACATGGTTTTATTTTTAAATAAAAAATTTTATTTATTTTTATCCTCCTTTCACAGTGAGAAGACTGAGGCTCAGACAGGTTGGTAAACCCTCTGAGGCAGTAAGTCACAGGGCCAGCTCTTGAGCCAGGCCGTCTTAGTGTTCCTTGTACTGAATCAAGTGTTCTTTGCACTGTATCACATCACGAAGTTTCCCAAAATATTAAATGCCCTCAATTTCCTTCCATTTAATGCATGTGGAGTCAAACTGTCAACTAAAACTTTGTACTGCATCTGATTTGGACAGTCACGGTTGGCTTGGTTTCCCCCAGAGACCCCATGAAAATATTTGATCAAATACTAGTCCAGGTGTCGCTGGGAAGGTATTTTGTAGATGCGATTCACGCCTATGACCAATTTACGTTAACGAAGAAAGATTAGTGTAGATGATCTGGGTGGGCCTGATTCAATAAGGCCTTAAGAGCCGAACTGGGGTTTTTCAGAAGAAGAAGAAATTCTACAAGTGGACAGTAGCTCAGCTCATGCCTGAGAATTCCAGCCCACCCTTCCCAACCAACAGCCTGCCCTCTGGTTTTTCAACTTAACCTAATAAGCCCTCACAATCATATAAACCAATGCCTTGCAATAAATCACTTAATAATTAACAGCTTTGACTGGTTGTGTTTTTCTGGCAGAACCCTGACTCATACTGATCTTCCAGAGCTTTTCCAATAAGGGGAAAGGGAATGGTGGAATAAAACCCTCTGAAAATCCACTTCTCCATGAAAGTAATCAGAACACTTGCAAAAATTGTCATCATCAACTTTTTCAGAACTCTGGATATTAGCCAAAAACCTGCAGCAATCTGAGGAGCTTTTATTCAAGAAAACAACTGGATCTTGGGAAGAAGTGAGCTTTTCATGTTTTATCTTTTACCTTATTCCCAGATACACAAAAACCGAAAATTTGTCACTAGCAGATCCTCCCTATATAAACACTGAATGAAGTCC